AGAAACAAATACAAGATGTACAAATGTAATGAGTCTTTGTAAAAACTTACCAAAATTTAGATTAAAAATACGTATTGTTCCTATTATGTTATATATACATATTAATAATGACACTTTTCTTCTTCTCCTTCTTCGTTTTTTTGGGCTATGCCCTTGACAATTTACCCAGTTTACTTCGAGGGTAGACACTTTTTGTCTTGTTTCAGCAATCAGTGTCTACCTACACTTATATTCATCCTTTGTTTGTTTTGGGTTATTCTGTATTCATGTATACTTGTATTGGTATTTTTTTTATATTCTTCTCAGGCTAAAATTTTAGTTAGACAACACAACAAAGATATAAACTTTTCTTGTTCGGGGGTAGCCTCCAAGCTTTACACACACCAGAACTGCTACCGGCGGATAAAGTAGAAGCACCCAGGACTGAAAGTAGGAAGATCATAGTTTATAATTTAATATTCAAGTTAGAAATAAAGTTGCATAAGATGTTTATTGTATTTTCATTAGTATTTGTAAGGATTGTGCAAATATCTATGGGAGTGTGAAGTTTAGTTTAAAGAGGGGATGCGCAATGACCAGTTCTCATACGGATGATCGTGGTTAAAGGTCTCCTACTGATATATGAGAATTTGTCAACCATGGTAGAGTGTGCATTCGCTGATTAATTTTGAAATATAATGAATTACTTGTGCCATATCCTTGGTAACATTTAAGCCCAGTTAGACCAAATTTCTCTTTTCAAGTATGGAGTAAAATTTGAAAACTGTAGTTTGATATTCATGCGAATATTTAGGGAACGACCTATATTAGCAAGTTGGTCAGCCTTGTAGTTTCCAGTAATATCAGAGTGTCATGGGATCCATACTAGTAAGATTTTGATATTATTGTTAATATATTAATAATAATAAAAGGATAATTTCTCTAAAGAAGAAAACTAGAAAGATAATTATGACCTTCAAAAATGAGACATAGTACAGAAGGTGCAGACAGATAGAATCTTATATTGGAGAACGACAATGCATTGAGGCGTGGAAGTTTATAAACTCTGTTTAGAAGCCGACTAACGAGAAAGTGAATCTAAATCCCATAAATCCCGAGGATTGGATATATTATTACAAACATCTATTAAATGAGAACAGAGACGAATTTAAAGAAGATATGAATTCATCAAGAATCGAAATTCTGGGAGAGCATATTACCATAGATATCAACATAGTTCAAAAAGCTATAGCAGGGATGAAGAATGGGAAAGCAAGTAACAGAGCAGAGGGAGTAACTACGGAATTAATAAAGAATGGCTCAGAGAAATTACACAGAATGATCACGGTGATATTTAACGAATATATTAATGGACATTCAACACCAGATGAATGGAAAACAGCATATATGACCCCAATATATAAAAAAGGTGACAGGAGAAATTGTAAAAACTATAGAGGGATATCGGTCACAAGTTCAATGAGTCGACTATACGGTCGAATATTACGGGACCTGATAGAGGAAGATTATCAATCGTCTGAAGACGAAGAACAAGGAGGATTTAGAGCAGGTCGTTCATGTACAGATAACATCTTCTGTCTTAAACAAATTATAGAAAAGAAAGTTGTGACAAATAGAGAGTTATATATGACATTTGTAGATCTTGAGAAGGCATACGACACAGTCCCTCTAAATAAACTATGGTAAGTCCTGGGCACATCAAACATTGGTTAGTGCTCTCAAAGATCTATATTATGGTTCAAACCCCAAATGAATTTCGGAAACCTCTTAGCTGAAAAATTTGCAGTTACTAAGGGTCTCAGACAAGGATGTTGTATCTCTCTGACTCTATTTAAGATTTATATCTCTGCAGCTCTGAAACAATGGAAAAGGAAAGTCAAAGGAATGGGTATACAATTGAACGATCAGGATTACATATATACTTTACAGTTTGCAGATGATCAGGTGGTGATCTCAAATAACAAAGACGACATGGAATACATGCTTAGAAAACTAATTGAAGAATACCAGAAATGGGGATTAAATATTAATTTAGAAAAGACAAAATACCTCTCAATTGGAGCTGAAGCAGAACAACTCGATATCGATGACAATCAAAAAATAAATCCATGTGACCAATATAAATACCTGGGCGTCATCTTCGACCGTAGTGGAAAAGACGAACGAGAAATAGAACATCGAATTGTACAAGCACGAAGAGCTATAGCATGTTTGAACGGAGTTCTGTAGAGTAAGGAAATATCAAAGAAAAGAAAATGGAACATCTATGAGACAATGGTTAAAACTAGCCTACTTTATGGAGCTGAGACATGGAGAATAATCGAGAAATATAAGAAAAAGGTCGAAGCCACGGAAATGGATGCCATCAGAAGATCGATGAGAATATCAAGAGCCGACAGAATACGGAATGAAGTGATAAAACAACAAATGGGTATAGAGGGCACTATAGTTGAGGATATTGAGAGAAAACAGCTCATATGGTATGGGCATGTGAGCCGAATGGGGGACGAAAGATTGCCTAAAAGAACGATGATGTGGCAACCCCCAGAGAACAGGAAACGAGGAAGACCACCACAGAGCTGGAACCTGGGAGTTAGGAAAGCGATTAGCGCTCGAAATCTGGACGAAGACCTAACTCAAGACAGAATACAGTGGCGTTTGGGAGTCGGACAACGTCGTAAGACGTTATAAAACCGAATATATATATATATATATATATATATATATATATATATATATATATATATAATTTCTCTTTTCGTTAAATACGATATATGTTCTGTCTCTTTACAAAACCCTGTGTTTTTGATTTTTTCTAGTGCACTTGTGGAGCCAGAAAAGATAATGACTTCTGTGATATTTTGTTTGAATATAATTTTTAATTGAGTATAAACTGCATGATTGATCGCGGTCACCTCTGCTGTACATATTTGGGTATGATTGGGTAGTTTACATGAAAATGAATAGTTTATATCTGTGGGAAAAACTCCAAATGCCGCATTTTTCATTGTGTCTGTTGATTCATCTATAAAGAATTTTTTGTATGAATGGAATTTTTTAACTAAGTTTACAAAATTCATAAGGTTGAATTTTGTAAACTTAGCTAAAAACTTTTAATTTTAAATGTTTTTATTCAGAATTCTTAATGGTTGAAGTTGTAGTTTCAGTTCATATTCATGGCAAGGAAGCAGTTAACTGGAGTATAAGTGCTGCAAATAAGGTTGGATTTTTCTAAGAATTTTTATCAATATGGGTTTTTCCTTATTTCTCCAGTAATTGTTGTCCATATTACAAAGTGCTTCTAATTCAACGATTGATTGATAGGTTTGTTTTTAAATCTTAGGTTTTTTAGCAAAAATGTTTTGGGACAAATTCTCTTCTGTAGTTTAATAGCAGTTCTCCAGACTCTTTTAACAAGGCTTGGACTAGAGTTGACTTCATGCATCCTGTGACAAACCGGAGATTTTGGTAGTGCATCTGATCTAGTTTCTTCAATATATATTTAGCTCATGTAGATAGGAATTAATCCCCATAGTTCAAATGACTTAGAATAAGTGCTTCATAGATCATCTTTAATATTTTTCGGTCACAGCTCCACCATGTTCTACACAAGCCACGTATTATACTTTACCTATTTTGACTTCCAGGTGGGTAATGTGTGCCTTCCATTTAAGGTTCTTCTGAAAAACCATTCTTAGGTATTTAATTTTATCTACCCACTTTATATGTGGTCTCATATAACTGATAATTCCAGGCATTATTTTGGTATTCCCCTTTGTAAACAAGATAGCTTTGGATTTACCCACAGAGATGTTCAAATTATGATGCTCCAACCAAACCTCAAGATTGGCTCAATATTAGTTTATTTTTGATATTGTATTTATTACGTTGACTCCTTTGACTAGAATTTACAAAATTTTGAGCATATTGTATGACTTCTCTAATCTATCTCTAATCGTTTTAGAAGTTTGCCAAAATTACCCACGTAACCTAAAATTTTTTTGAAAAATTAAAATATTTTTCCTGGCTTAATTTTGATCCAAAATAGATAAAATAATTAGAGGGCTCTTGGGAATTAAAGTGTATGTTCGTCAACTTTTTTTAATTTTTAGAGCAAGGGATCGCTCAGGAATTTTTGTTTTTTTGAAAAAAGACAGTCACCAAGGGAGATCCACATTCGGCTAAAGGGATTTCTAAATAGTACTTTCAAGTGCCCAACCCCTAATAAACAGCCAGCCGAGTGCAGATTTTACCATCTTATTCCACTATAACTTTTAATATAAATAAATAACTTTTAAATCATAGTAGTTTTATTATATTAATTGCACTTTATTTCTTCTATTAATGACGTTATGAGTTATAAGTATAAGCTCTTTAATCTTTCCTGACTCCCTCAGTTACCTCAAAACTTAATTCCTCGTTTAATCGTAGAGATCTGAATATCTTTTATATACAAAATATCTTTGTGCTTTTCGAATCTGAAATATATATTTGAGTTATCTTAAAAGCAAAAATATTAACTATTTAGTTTCAAAAATATTTAATTAATGACAGTATCCAGAAGTCCTATCAGGTATATATTTAATAATCAGATAGAAAAGAAAGGGAGTCAATAACTTGATAACATGTAATATGCAGAAACAAATACACGAATAAATAAGGTAGTCAGAATTTCTTCGAAATAAAGTACAAATGTATGATCTTGTAGTTAGAGTGCCTGTCGCAAAAAAGTTTATAATAGATACTCTCTCCAAACTTTGAATATATTATCACTTCATTAGGAGTCTGACACAGTTTTTCTCTGCGACTTGTTTTGGTTTTGAGGCTTTTTTCCTCTAATTTTCCCGAGAATAATTTCTTAATTATTAATTAAGAAATTATTAATAATTCTAATTTATTAGATTTTTATTTGAATTAACAAAACTATTTTTGTTGATATTTTGATAAAATATAAATTTAAATCTTGCTTAAATTAAAAATGCTTAACTTTTCTGTTAAAGGTAGATATTAACACAAGTAGAACCGAAAGCAGAGGTACGGTGAAAGCAAGAAGTATCAAGCTGGCATTAGAAATGAGTGCAAGAGGAGTTATGGAAAAAGACATTATTGTAATTTGTAGTCAAAATAACGTCGATGAAACAATAGGTAATACTTGAAACGAACGTGTATCTAAGTTTTATTTTGGTACTGCTACAAATTGTATTAATATATACAAGCTATATTTTATATACATATATATATATATATATATATATATACATACATATATATATATATATTATATATATATTAATATATATATATATATATATATATATATATATATATATATATATATATATATATATATATATATATATATATATATATATATATAACTCCGCCTTCGGTAAGTACTGGGTGAATTGAGTAGCTCAGTAAATGCCGATGCCGGTCCCAAGCCCGGATAAAGGAGGAGGGTTGAGGCGATGGGCTAGCAACTCGTCCCTTGTCAAAAGAAATAAATGCTAAAAATTTCGACCAAAAGCCTCGGAATACAAAGGATGGATCAAGATAAAGACGACTAATGCAACGAAAAAGGAAAATGATATTGGCTACATGGAATGTACAAGGACTGAGAACCAAACAAGCAGAAGTATTCAAAGAACTAGCGGAAAGAAAAATAGATATATGTGTTCTCACAGAAACCAAGAAAAAGGGAAAAGGAAATGAAGAGATAGGAGAATATATACATATCTACAGCGGAGTGAGTAAAGATAACAGAGCTAAGAGGGGAGTCTCTATTGCCATTCGAAAAAATCTTAAAAACAACATTAAATCGTGGACTGAAGTAAATGAACAACTACTAATACTGGAAATGAAAAAGAATGGGCACAATATCGTAATTGTCGGAGTATATGCCCCAAACGAAGATGCAAATCCAGAAAGTAAAGACGATTTCTACGACAATATGAATGAAATACTCTCTGAAGTTAAAGAAAACTGTGAAATCTTTATACTAGGAGATTTAAACGGCAGAGTAGGTACAGAAGAAAATAGCAGAGTCGTAGGAAGATATGGAGAGCAAATAACCAATGACAACGGAATGCGTCTTAGAGATTTTTGTGAAATAATGTCCCTCAAAATTATGAATGGATTTTTTCAACATAGAGACATCCACAAATTTACATGGATACAACCTACTAGGAATCTGCGCTCGATAATCGACTTTGTAATCCAACGTCAAACTTCCCAGCTGAAAACAACTGACGTAAGGGTATACTGTGGATCAGAATGTGGATCCGACCATCATTTACTTATGGCCAATGTGATAGTTAACTATCGCAAAAACAATAACACTCAGGTACAGAATATAGAAAAGGGACAAAAAGTACCATCTAAATATAACCTAGAAAGCTTAAAAGAAGATTCAACAAAATTTCTTTACAAATTACGACTGGCCACAAAATTACAAAATGTGGATCGAGAAAATATAACAGCGGAAGAATTATACCAACAACTTAAAAAGTACATTCATGAGGCTGCAAGTGAAGCTTTGGGGTATAAAGACAAACATGAAACAAAAAATCAAGAATGGTGGTCGGAGAATATGCAAACGTTAGTAAACAAGAAGAAAACTGCTTATCAGAAATGGATGTCAACGAGAAAGGAGGAAGATCACAAGGTATATACGAAATTAAATCGAGATGTAAAAAGAGAAGTAGTGAAAAGTAAAAATGAGATGTGGGATCGAAGATGTGCAGAGGTGGATAGATATATGGGTGGAACAAGAGTTGGGCAAGCGTGGAAGGTGATAAAGTCTCTCCGGAGGGAAGGAAAGGAAAAATCTAACTTAAAATTAATAGATCTGAAACAGTGGAAACAGCATTATGAGGTCTTATTGACAGAGGATAGACGTAAATTCCAAGATATCGAAATGGAAGAAATATCTGAACATACACAAATAATTGAGATAACAACCGGAGAGTTAAGCGATGCCCTCAAAAGATCGAAAAACGGTAAAGCAGCAGGACCTGGAGACATCCCAATTGAGTTGGTAAAGTATGGACCAAAAATATTACACGAGATGATGGTTAAACTATTTAATAAATGCTTAAAAGGACAAAATATCCCTGATGATTGGAATGTTGGATACATCAGCTCAATATACAAAAAAGGGGATAAACGCAATTGCTCTAATTATAGAGGAATAACTGTTACTAGCTCAGTTGGGAGGTTGTAAGGTCGAATAATAAAAAAACGAATTAAATCAGAATATGAAGACATAGAGGAACAAAATGGATTTAGGGCAGGAAGATCGTGCATTGATAATATATTCGTTCTGCAGCAGGTAATCGAAAAACGGAAGGCAAGGAATCTATCTACCCACCTATTGTTTGTAGATTTAGAGAAGGCATATGATACGGTACCTTTGAAAAAACTATTTTATACATTGACGAAAGTAGGTCTCAGTAGAGAGTATGTGGATGCTATCGCAAATATATACAAAAATGCAAGAAGTGTCGTTAAAGAAGGAAACTTTATATCTGAATCATTTCCAATAACCAAGGGGCTTAAACAAGGATGTTGTCTGTCTCCGACCCTGTTTAAAATATATATTCAATCATCACTAGAGCAGTGGAGAAAACAAGTATCCGGAATGGGAATAGACATAGGCGGTGGTGAATGTCTAACAGCTTTATTTTTCGCAGATGATCAGGTAGTCGTAGCGAATGACGAGGAAGACATGGACTACATGTTTAGAAAACTAAAGAAAGAATATGAAAAATGGGGCCTCAATATGAATATGGCAAAGACAGAGTATCTTAAAATAGGAGATGGTGAAGAAGATCCAGAGTTAGAAATTAGAAACACAAAAACATGCAATGAATATAAATATCTCGGATCTATAATATCTAAAGAAGGCACTACCAAAAGAGACATCGAAAACAGAACACAGCAGCGAAAAAAAGTGGTAAACATTCTAAACTCTCTACTTTGGTCTAAAGATATTAGATAAGAAACGAAATTGACAATCTATTGAACCTTGGTAGAGCCTATTATGACTTATGGAGCAGAGGTTTGGCAGATAACGCAGAAGGATAGAAAAAGAATAGAAGTAGTAGAAATGGATTTTCTAAGGAGAGCGTGTGGTATATCCAAAAAAGATCACATCAGGAATGAAGATATTAGAAGGAGGACAAATACTGTATATTCCAGTGTAGATAGAATTGAAACGAGACAACTAGTGTGGTATGGTCACGTGAAACGAATGAATGAAGATAGATGGCCAAAGAAATCTTTAAATTACATACCACAACAAAGAAGAAGAAGGGGAAGGCCTTCAGTTGCCTGGGAAGAAAATGTACGGCACATAATGAGAGATAGAGCCATCAGAGAAGACGAATGGATGGACTATATATATATATATATATATATATATATATATATATATATATATATATATATATATATATATATATATATATATATATATATATATAGAAAAGAAATTTAATCTTTGCAGATAAGTTATACAGTAAACTCTTAAATATTGGGGACATCTGCAAGAAAACTCTAATGAGTCTAATGAGTATCAATTGTTTCGCCGAACGTTTTCGCCAAAGAGAATTAATTTGGCTTCTTCAGGGCTGAAAAGAAGAAATTATAATTAGCTACCATATATTACCGTAACTTAGAATTGTAGAGTTAGGTTTTGTTACATATTGGTTTTTTTGTTACTATGTGAAAAAAAGTTTTTTTACCGTTGGAAATGTATGATAGCTTTGAACTTAAAACGCAAAGGTTTTTCGCAAAAATAAAAAGTTTCAGAAGGATTCGTAGGTTTTTTGTATAAAATGATGGATCTGATAGTTTAATTACTCTATTTTTCATCTGTTTGATTAAGTTGACTTTGGTAGAGTTATTATGATGAAAAAGAGTAATTAAACTATCAGATCCATCATTTCATACAAAAAACCTACAAATCCTTCTGAAACTTTTTATTTCAAATTCTTATCCAACACCATTAGTAAACAAGATTTTGTTTAACACTATCCATAACGAAGATACTTCACCTTCCATCGTGACTAACAATGCTGATCCTGATGTCTTAAGTAAAAACCCAGTCTCGGATACTCCTATCAATAAAAGTTTTTAATTACCCTATTTCAGAGATATCACTCCGGGGTTAACAAGGATTCTAAAAAGTTTTGAAAATAGCTTTTCGAATAATAATAATAACATTAAACTTAATGTGGCTTGTAGATAAGCCCTAACAATTAATAATCTTTATTCGAAGATAAAAGATAAGACTCCCATAGATAGGCTTAGTAATATTGTCTACAACATTCCATGCCTCTCTTGCAACAATTCCTACATCGGCCAAACATCTCAATTATTGAAATCACGTATTACACTACACAAAAGTGATTCTCGACTTCACCCTGACCGCTGTGCATTAGCCAAACATGTCCATTCCACTGGTCATCACATGGACTATACTAACACTACAATTCTCCACCGTGAGAACAATAAATCTAAAAGAGGGTTCATTGAAATGTCTTATATTTTCCTTAACGATTTTTCCATCAATGTTAAGAGTGACATTAAGAATCTAAGCGATATATAACACTTCTTACTTAAATCAGATACCAAGAACAATACAACATCACAGATAACTAACATGACTGATATATCTATTAACAACTTCTTCTTCTTAAGGTGCCGTGCATTTCTGCGTAGGCGTCCACCGTACATCGTCCCGTCAGGTGAGATGTTAAATAATCTGGTTTAAATAATTCTGTTTTTAGCAGCATTGCGAAGCATTTCATAGCTGTGGATTCCTGTCCATTGTCGAATATTGCGCAGCCATGACATTTTTTTACGTCCGAGACCTCTCCTACCCTCTATCTTCCCTTCGAGTATCAGTTGCTGAAAAGTGTATCGTTCTCCTCGTATAATGTGCCCCAAGTATGCAGTCTTCTTACTTTTTACATAATTAAAAAGTTCCCTATCCTGTAAGCCCGCTCTTCTGAGTACTTCCTCATTTCTGACCCTGTCCGTCCATGATATTCTGAGCATTCGACGCAGGCACCACATTTCAAACACTTCAAGTTTGTTAATGGAACTGGTCTTTAACGTCCATGCTTCCATTCCGTACAGCA